TGGAGAAATTTTCCTGCTCTGTCATATACCTCACATTCTTGCCACTGAAATAATGCCTCCCTCAGATGGACATGCTAGGGTCTTCCTAGAGAAATCTTTGTGCATTGGTTCTCCTTTCTCTGATGACCAGAACCAATTTATATGTTACGACTCATTTTATATGGACTTACATTTTAATTACCTGATGGGATTTTGGAGTCCCTCAAGATGATGCAGGCATTCCTGGGACCTGAAGATCCACAATCCACTGTGGATTCTTGGCTTTGTGCAGGAAAGAATTCAAACACAAGCCAGCACAGAGTTTAAAGTGGAAGAGAGTTTATCAGTGAAGCAGTGACATAGAGAATGGCTACTCCACAGACAGAGCAGCCCCACCCTGGCGGGATTTACTTCTTTTTTTGAGGCTCATTTAATTGAAGGGTAGCACATTCAATAAGGGGAATGGATATTTAGAATTTTCCAGGAAAAATGGAAAAAAAAGTCTCTAAATATGGAGACTCCTTGGAAGAGCCCATTGGCCACATTATATCCTTATATGGGCTTTGTTTTTGATCATGGCGACTGGGGTGTATTGTTTAGTATGCTAATGTATTACAATGAGTGTAGAATGAGACTAGGGGTTACTGCAAGGTGAAATTAGTTGCCATGTTGGATGGAGCTGGTCTTCTACCAGTTGTAAACCATAAATTTGTTGCGGGTTGGTCTCATTATCTCTGTGATAGTCCTTGTAGCCCTTAGAAGTTAGAGCCATTTTGCCATAAGATCCTATCTTATAATCACATTGATTACTTATATATAAAATCTCTTCTAGGGATGGGTTATATGCTCTGATATTTTGTTAAATCTGTGTTGGGTTCATAAAATAATGCTTCCTGTTTTAGTCCTCAAATTCTGATGTTATTTTGAACTTGTGAATTTTTTAGGGTTCATGAGACATTTTCAAAATAGAGGTGGGGGCATGGGTGAAAAAGGTGAAGGGAAATAAAGTCAGTAATATTGTGATAAGTTTGCAGGGTGATAGATAATTACTGGAATTGGTATGGTGATCACATTGTAAGGTATAGAAATGTCAAATCACTGTATTATACACATGAAACTAATATAATATTATATACCAAACTATACTTAAAAAATTGGGAAAACAACCCCCCCCCCCCAAAACAAACAAACAAAATAAAACAAAGTTCAAGGCAGTAAACCAGGATTACTTATCCACAATTTTAATCCAATAGGAACTGTTTTTCTCTAAGTCTTTTCTGTCAATCACAGGAATTCAATGACTACTTACTATGTGCCCAGTCCTGTTCTAGATGTTTGGGGAACACAAAAGAAGTTTCAGATACTGTCACTGCAAGAAATAGTCATTTTAGTTGGTAAAGGCTGACATCTAGTGAATGGTACACATTCCAGGCTATACAACATAGACTTCACATTCTTTATCTCTAATCCTCACAACACTTCTGAAATGTTTCTCATCCTCCTAATCCTAATCAAGAAACAGGCTTATTTGGTTAAGTGACTTGCCCAACATCTCATGGCTATAAAATCCAGGATTCAAATCTTACTCTATTTGAATTTGAAGCCCAGTCTCTTTCTAACCCTCTATTATGCCTCAAAGATTCCAAATATAGGGCAGAATGAAATCTGGGCCTAGAGAAGAAGGACATTTCTTTCTCCTTCTCCTTCTTATTCCCCCTTCCCCTCTCCCGCCCTCCCTTCCTCCTCCTCTTCCTCCTTCTCCCTCAATTTACATTAACCTACAATTTTAGATTCCTGTATTAGTGAAAGGGCTTCTGCATTTTGTGATGGTTCTGCTTAGGGTTTCTTGTTGTTGTTATTTTTCTTCAGGAGACATAGCCAGTTATGCCAGCTAATATTTCACATCATCTCTCATGGTTTTCTTTTTATGAGAAGGTAACAATATTGCATGACATAAAAGGAACATGATGACTAGATGTTAGCATCACAAAATTGCATTCTAACTTTTATTTTCACTTGAAACAAGTTGCATTTGAGGGGGATGGAGAGGAAGTTCTGCTCAGGGGTTTTTATTTTTTTCTTCAGGAGACATAACCAGTCACACCAGCTAATATTTCACATCAGCTCTCCTGTTTTACTTTTTATGAGAAGGTAATAATATTAAATGGCATAAAAGGAACATGACGACTAGATGTTAGCACAACAAAATTGCATTCTAGTTTTTATTTTCACTTGAAACAAGTTCCATTTGAGGAGAATGGAGAAGAAACATACTTTGCTAGAGGCAACTAATGCTTCTACATTGGGAAACAATGTTGCATTAGTATAAGGCTGGGATGCAAATCATAGAGCTTTTAAAATTCACAATGGCTAAGCAAGGTAGAATTTTATATTTCACATACAAATCCAGGAAACAGCCCAGGGCTGCTGTGACAGTCTATGGAGTTAGGACTCTTGATACATTGCTGCTTCTGACCTTGACTTTGACCTCCAGGTCTAAGGTGCTTATGTCATGTTCTAAGCAGTAGATCGGGGTAAGGAAGAAGATGAAGGAGCAAAAGGCATCTACTTGCTGTCTCTGAAGAGGGTGGCCAGAAAGTGGTGTAGACAGCACTTCTGTCTACACCACATGGGCAAAAATTAGTGTTATGGTTACATCTAACTGCAAGGGAGTCTTCATTTTAGATGGCCATAGGCTTATTTTTAAAAATGAAGAAAAGGACGACCAGTGATCTGCCACCAAGACCATGAGATTTGATCCTGGCCCTCCCAACCCTTTCTCAAACTTTGAACACTTGCAACCCCTGGATGGACATTTGGAACACATTTAAGCCACTAATTCTATATAAAATTGAAAAAAGAGGGTTCACCACAAATTAAAAATAAAGACAAAACAAAAATATTAAAATTGATAATAGTTTTGGTTTTATCTTAGTGAGAGGGAGGGTACTGTTTGCCATCTTTCACCACAAACATTGTTTCTTGAGCCATAATGGAGAGCTGGGCTATAGATCAGTTTCACAGAAGGTTTCTTTTCTTACTCTTGTTTTCACTAAGTTAGAAAAGCTTAAATTACAGTTAGAAGTAGCAACAAATGATTGAAAACTATGTATTATAGTTCTGAACATTGCAGCTATAGATGGACATAGAAATCGGGAAGATTTCTTGCCGATTTGTCATAATTATGTCCACTTAGTAGCAGGCAGGCTGAGTATTTCATCTCAGGACTGTGAACATTCTGTGAGCTAAAACACTCACACATGGTCCACACTCAGTCAGTGATTCTTTTCAGATATTTGTAAATTCTGGACTATTCCAGACTTCCATATCATAGTTCAATATCCTTGCAAAATCCTGGTTTCTTCTTTATTCTTCTTCCTTATAAATCATCAGCTTTTATTCCCAAAGTGGGGGAAGGTTCCCAATGTTTGAATTACTGAATATATTGTAGAGCCACCATTCACATCATAGAAGTAGTCTTTCTTTGCATTATGAGCATCATAAAATATCTTTTTATTTTAGTCATCTTTTCAAAGACATCTGCGAGCACCATCAGAGTCAGTGTGCATCAGTGGGGAAAACAGTCATCTTGTCCCTTGTTTCTCTGCCTGGCACACTGGAAAGGCAGGCGGTCTGAGGCTTTGCGTGCATGCCTTATTGTCTTCACTAAACCAAGACCAGAGGGAAAGTTGTTGACCACCAACTGGTCTCCGTGAATGCAGCTGGGAAATGACTTTCAAAAGGAACAACTGCTTTTATGTGAGCAGTGTCACCTTCGCTGCACGTGGAGTTGGTGCCTTCTCACTACTGGTCTCCATTCATCCTGCTTCACAAAATACATATTAACTTAACAAAAGCCTCTTTTCTCTTCTAGCATGGGCTTCCAGGGGCTCAATGGGACAAGAAGCAGCGAGCAGGTCTCTCTGTAGGACAAGCATGCTAGGTCCCCAATTCCCACTCTGCCCCTCAGAGGCTGTATCCTAATGGTTTGTTGGCCAGCCCCCCTGGATCTTCCCACTGTGGTGCAGGTTTTAGGTGATTTCCAACAGTCATTTGATGAAGGAATTTTGCTATCGTTTTGTTCTACTTTCTCTGTGGACATAGTGTTCGTGATCAATTTTGCAGGTAGTTTTTCGATGTGTCACAAATGATAAGACCTTTGCCCATTATTCCAACTCGTTCTGCTCTCTTTCATTCTTTAGTGACAGAATTAATTGAATGAATGTCAGAAAGTATTTTTTTCCCCAGTATGTTCCTGTTCTGAAAAAATTTGAGGTTTTATTTGAAGATGAGTAGGAACTAATAGCTTAATGTCATAACTGGGCCAATTTTTATCACAGACACTGTGACCAGGGCCAAACGGATTGTTGTCATTAAGACCCAATTTTCAAGTACTCATCGCTGCATTTCCTCTCCTTACTTTTCATTTCTGGGTGGAATGAATATACTCACAGAATCACTTGATCTGAGATATACGTTCACATTATTCACACTGGAGCCCTATAATTCACACATGCATTATATTTATGATACTCTTTGGAGTTGTACTATTTACATTATTATTTATACAATTACTGTTCAGTTTGGGTGAGCCACTTTTGTGATTTGGGACTATGACACAGCACGACAGCAGAACAGAAATACATACGTAACAACACACAGTGAGAACATGTGCCTGGAGACAACTTGCAGGCTGTTCACTGAATCTGCCGGAGGTAAACCACACAACTGCTACTGAGGGGAGCACAATGGATTTAACTTTTCTTTTCCCCTGAAGCCACCAAACAAACCCAGGGACTACACTTTGGGAACACCACCCTATATGTTTTGATGAGAACTTTTCTGAAGCAGAATGGGTAGATGGGGTATGGGTAGGAGGAGACTGACCCCTGGTGAAGTTTAAAGAGAACAAAAACCTGAAACTGAAGAAATACCAGGTTGGGGCTTCTAGTTTGGGGAGCCAGAAATTGAAGCTATGTCCATTTAAGTGTTTTCCTTTCTTCTTCCTTTGTACCTTACAGAGTAAGAGCCAAGGATCCATCTTTGTCCGAATACATGCCCCGTGGCAGGTGCTGGCCAGAGAGGCAGAATTCTTGAAGATCAAAGTTCCCACCAAGAAAGTATGAACATGTTTCTTCTGGGTTTGGGGGCCTCCTGAGGGCTGGATGGTTGTGAATCATTTGGAAACAGGGACAGGTGGGACATGGGTTTTGTGGAGGTGAGATCACACTCACCTCCCCAGGGACCCTAAGTACGGGGCAATGAAATGGGTGGGACAGAAAAGAGAGTTGGGGTAGGGAGAGGGGCTGGGTTTGGAAATCCTGTCCCCTCAGAGCTCCACCTGGGGTGTGCTGCACGAGAAACCAGACGTTGCCCTGATCCAGCTCTCGATCTCTCCATCACACCTGCTTCCTCCCTCTTCTGGGAGTCCCAACACAGCCAGGCATGTTTTCAGAGTGACTGTGGCAGTGAGGAGACAGTAAGCCACGCTGACTGGGTCAGCAGATGTAGGGAGAATAGCACCAAACTCGCTGTCAATATTCTGGTTGTGACTCTGCCACTAAGTATTGTATGTGCTGGGTTTCACTAGTCTCGTCTGTAAAATAGAAGATTCCTCATCAGAAGAGTTGATCCGAATTATTTGGTAATATTTTCAAAATGTTCATTCCAGTGTCCCACCTTGGGATTTGGATTTTGTTGGTTGGTATGGAATGAAATCTGGCATCAGTATTATGAAAAAAATTACCGGGGTGTGTGATCCATATCTGGGTTGAGAACCACAAAGTTTACTTGATTTTTGAGGTCTTTTTCAGCCGATATAGACTATGTATAATTAAAAAACCTTCCCAGTGAAATTCTAGGTAAGTCTTCTTGTAAAAAAAAATCCAGCAAACACCAACAAAAAGAAAGAAAACATGGCCACAGATTCACCATTCTGTTTTATTAGGAATTTTAGGAGAAATGAGTGGGTATTGGCTTTGAACATTTGAGAGGGCTCTGAAAGGGTCCTGGGGCAGCTGATAATATAGTTCAACCGTGACTGATCTATGGGTGATCTCTTTCTTTAATCTGTCTCTGTCTCTCTCTGTTTCATTGTCTCTGTATCTGTTTCACACACCCACCCACAGTGTCATTTCACAAGTAATGACCAAGCTTTGCAGAGATCATCTTCATTGTTCTAACTACCATAATCCCCCCCCTCCCACCATCAACAGAGCTCCATATTTGTTGTCTTCTGTACCACTATTATCAACTGCCTTCATCACCATCTCCACTATCACTAGCTTCCCTATAGTCAGCAACACCATCTGATTGGCATCGCCTGCTATTCTTACAACCATCTTCACTACCCACAGGTCTATGATCCCCATCAAAAACCACTCATCAAGTAGCATCATGTGGGATGCCATTATGAATGCCCTACTCAAGAAAGATAAAGTCTGAGGGTTCTGTTTTCGCAGGTTTTAGATGGATAACACCTCTGTAGCAGGTGGAGATGTGACTATTAAACAAGGAAGGAACATAGACATGAATGAGTGTTAGCTACAAACTTCTTCCAATAAAAGGCCAATGTTTTGGGGTCACATGCCTGAATGTCTTGGTTTCATATGGACCACACCGTGATCTTTCCCCCTTGATTGTACTGCTGCATTCTCTGTCTCCTCGTTTTAAACCTTTCACTCCTGTTACCGCAGTCCTCCAATGCAGTGTGTCTTCTTTGTTCTGGATCTCTGCTCCTCTTCCTCTGGTGCTCTCCGGGTCTGCTGGCAACATGACCCAAGCCTCGGCCTTGCATAGGGAATCTGCTTCCCTCCAGTGGTGTCCTAACTTGGCCAACCCTTTGTCTTACTTTCCTTATAATATATATAGATCTATCTGTCTGTCTGTCTATCTATCTATCTATCTATCTATCTATCTATCTATCTATCATCAATCATCATCTATTATCTAATTTCTTCTCCTTTCTTTGGATTATCTGAATATCTAATGTTCTGTTAATCTCATTGTATTTGTATCTTGCTTCCTATGTTTTTATCTGTGCTGGCTGGTCCACGGAAAGAAGGTGAGCAAAATCTCTAATGCCCCTGCTACTGCTTCCACTCCCTAGGACAATCCTTTGTAGCAGGAAACCTAGAGACACAGAAGAAGTGTGCATCCTTCTTCTACTCTCCCCTCCTGGTCTCTCTCTCGTCTCGGCGCTCCTTCCATCTTTCCTGCACTCCCATGCTTCTCCTTTCCTTCTTCCCTCTCCCTTGTGCCTTTTCCTCCTGATGCCTTTGTCTAGCCACTCCCGAATACCCTGCCGTACCTCTCATCTCTCCACCACTTTCTTCTTTTCCTCATTCCCTCGCTCCCTCTGGCCTCTGCTTGTGCTTTCAGAAGCTCAGTACCTTGGAGAACGTATCTTCCGTCAGCATGTATATACCCCCAACATTTATCCTATTGGAACTTCCCATCCAAAGCTTAGGTGGTTCCTAAGCAGGACGTATAACACAGTCATCTCTGGACTTCCCTCCATTTTTTACTGTTGCATTTATTTGTTATAATTCAAATATGTTTGATATATAACTTGTGTAAATGTGAGGTGTACAACATGTTAATTTGATACATTTATCTATTATAATGTGATTACCATGGTAGTGATAATTAGCACCTCTATCACATTACATAATTATTCTTTCATTGTGTGGTTGGAATAATGAAGTTCTAGTCTCTTAGCAAGTTTGACGATTATAATATTGTTATCTATATTCACTCTGCTGGGCATTAGATCTCTAGGGCTTATTAACTACTAGTTGCAAATTTTACCCTTGGACACCATCTGTCCTATTTCCTTCCCTCCATTCCCTGGTAACCAACATTTTACTCTCTCATTTTACAAAGTTTAGATTTGTAGATACCACATATAAGTGATTTCATACAGTACTTTTCTTATCTCACTTAGTATAATGTGCTCAAGATTCATCCATGCCTTGGAAGTGGCAGGATGTTCTTCTTTCTCATAGCTGAATAATATTCCATCATGAATATACACCACATCTTCTTTATCCATTCATGCATTGCTGAGCACTTTGTTTTCCTTCTGTCCCTCCTCCCTTTTTATTTTGGAGGCATAGCGTAGTAGATACTACACTAAACAAGTCCTCAGAAGACCAGACTTTGGGTCTCGGTTCTGCACTTATTTGCGGTGTGACTCGGGGACGTCACATCATCTTTCAGAGCCTCAGTGTCCTCATTTGTGATATGGGGAATACCTGCCCTGTTTTACTTAGAGGGTTGTTGTAAGAATCCAACTCTTTCTTACTGCTGTGGAAATACAGTCTATTATTGTGTCAGTGTTCGGAAGTCTTTTTATGTATATTCTCAATTCCTAGTCCCCAGTTAACTTCCCTCCTGACCCAACAGGCAGCCAACACTAAGGAAACTCCCCCAGTAGGAGAGCCTCTGGGGAGATCCTGAAGGATGCAGAAATAATCCATGCTTTCAGAGAGCTTACAGCCAAAGGCACAACATGAAGAACGCACATGCCCAGACATCAAAACACTAGTTAAGTGTTGTGTCAAATAGCAACTCCTCAGCACAGGAGAGATTCAGCATGTAAATATGGCGGGCCAGGGAGTCAGGAGAACAGAGCCATGTGGTGGCTCCCACAAGGCTCCAGGTATAACAGAAAGACATTTCCCCCAACATTTCTGGGCCCCAGACTTGGCACAGGTGTATTGTTCTGGTGTCCTTCTGCGGGCCCGGTCACATGACCCTGGTCTTCTTTGTACTCATTGAATGCAGTCTCAGTGACCTCACGGGGGTCATAACCAAGACACTGGAACATAACTTGGTATGCTGGGTAGGATGCATATGTTTTCAAAAGTTAATTTGTGACCTGATGTCAGGGGTAGTGGTTAAATCTAGTTCCTGAGGTGAGCAAGGAGCTTGGAGGGAAGGATGAGACAAGGAAGTCTGTGGAGGGTCGGTGTTGGGTCCTGCAGCACTTTTCTCTATTTTAAATGGGTCTGGGAAGGGACGGCAATGAGAATAGGCTCCATTTGCAGAGAGCCACATCCTGGCGGCAGCTGGAACGCGGAGGAAGACTGAGGCATGGTGTGGGGTCATTTGCACATCCCCCAGGCCGGCGGAAGTTTGGGTCATAGCTCAGCAGGCTCTGGAGAGACCAGGAAGATGGGGAGGAAATCACAAAATCAAGATCGCAAACCTGGACAAATCCATAGTAATGCTTCCAGGGACTCGGAGTCCTGACCACAGATATTAATTGGGAGGGGGAACCTTGGAAGGAAGCATTTGTTTTCCAAAAACAACAACAGAAGAGCCAGCATTTTGTGAGGGACACGCATCCATGCACAGGAAGAGGGTGGGAAGGCCTGGCCTTTGGCCCCGAGCAGCCTGGGAAGGTTTGAAATGGTTGCTTTCTCATCTGTGCATTACCAAGGTGGCCTTTCTAGATTGTGGTCAGCATCTATGTTCATTTCACATTCACTTGCATATATATGAATGAATCCCTGCCCCCCCGCCCCCAACCACCTTCTCATCTCTACATTCACTTATTATCCAAGTGCCGCCTGTAGCAGAGACAGGGCCAGGAATGGACAAGGGGGAGACAACCAAGTCCATTCCTATCAATGAAATCGTGTTAATCCAGCCACTGAATTGAGAAGGAGAAACATGCCTCAGATGGGTGAAAATCACTTTTGTCCAACTTGGCTAAGCTTTTGTAGTTATTATTAATAGAGTGAGTAATATCACAGGGGTCATGCATACTGTTCCCCAGAGCCTGTAAGGACTTTAGCTTTTGAGTCCTTCCCATGCAAGCAGATGCTGTTAACTGCAAGCAAGTCATACATTTTTGGAAAGGAGGCTCAGAGCTCCCCTCACCTCCAAACCAGGAGTAATAAATGTCACTGAAGGCTATTGGGAGGAGCAGTGACAATACAGTTAGGATGCCTAGCATATGCAACACAAGGCAAGTGCCATTACTGCGGCGGTTGGTATTGTTGTTCATATGTGATATGTGTCAACAGCACAGTTAGCACCAGATGGGGGCTGCCCCTTCCTGCTATGTCCCTTCACAGCCAGTATCTGTAGTGTAGGTGGGGAAACAGGCCCA